TAAATATGAAAACAATTAACGAATGACAAATTTTTAAAAATAATAAGAAAATTGTAAAGTTAAAAAAATCCAGCTTCATAAGAAGACTATACTGTATGATATACTATGAAAGAAGTAAAACGAGAAGTATAAACAGGAAAATGTTCCTAAGGTAAATATTATTGTCTTCTCGTTCTTTTTACAACTTCTTTCGTATTATAAGATGATTCTACTGAATGAAGCTTTCTTTTCGCTCTACTTTTACTTTTTAATAATGGCGAAGGTTGTTCAAGACTTTCATGATCATCGGTTGTTATAGAGATAGACGTAGAATTAAGTAATATCGCATTTGATGATGATTCGTGATCTGGTGTAGTATCTGATGATGATTCGTGATCTGGTGCAGTATCTGATGATGTAAATGATTGTTGATTATCTGATGATGATTCTTGATCTGGTAAAGTATCTGAACATGTAAAAGATTGTTGATTATCTGCAGTTATTGATGAAATCAGCTTACAATTTTTTATTAATTCTTTCATTTTATCACATGTATTATTATTACGAAAATCTTGTAAATGCCTGTAAAAGTTTGATAGTTGAAATTTGCCACGATTATTTGTTAATGATATCCATTTGTTACAACAACATTTTATATTAGCTTTTAATACACCACTTGCATCATTTAATATGGAAATAGAGTAATGTTGACCTTCAATCAAGGACAAATTTGACAAATTAAATCTTGATTCATTATTTTTACACCAATTGTTCAATGTATTATTTATATAAGTTTTATGTTCATCGAGTGATAAGTTTAAAGATTTTGATGTGACAATATTTGATGAATTACTCGATAAAACCGCCATTGTTGATTCTGTGGTAGTTGAGGATGTGTTTATGGTTCTATCTAATGGTGGTGATGATTGATTACGTTTTGAAGATTTTGTTAACTTTGCATCATCAGTACATTTTTGTTTTAATAAATCAATAAGATAGTCTACATTTCCTTTTATACCAGGTTTTATAATGAATGTATCATCATCAAGCATAAAACCATGTTTATTTTTAAAACAATCTAAAGCTTTGCTTTTCAAATTCATAATACAATAAACATCAGCTGTCATCAACAAAGATTTAACACAATTGATACTTTGAATTTCAAAAAGATCAACAGCAGCATCACCAGCTTCTTTTCGAACAAAATCAAAAAATTTAACGTCACGTAATGACATGATATCAGATGGCAAAATTGATGTATCAATAAGAGCTTCTGTTTGAAACATATTTAAATATTAACTATATTTGTATAAATAAAATTCTTGCTCTCTCTCTCTCTCTCTCTCTCTCTCTCGAGAGAGAGAGAGAGAGAGAGAGCAAGCGAGAAAGGTTTAATGATTCATGAATATTATGAGCCAATAGCTTCTAAAGTGATGTTCTCTATACAAGCGTAGCTAGTACTTTTCAATTTTTTGTAACATTCCATCCTTTCAAATGATGGATGTTTTCTTCAGGTTACCGACATGTGACTCATCACAGTTGTTTATCAGCTGGAAGTGTTTGAAAAATATGTCAGATTTTTGTTTCCAAACTTATTATAAACTATTATGTCTGAACACATTTGGTTTTCTAGATAAAAAATCGATCGTTTTCTTCTTATGGATGATAGATTGCCAGATAATGTTTTTTCTTTAAAGAACGATGATTTTTATGAATTTATTCAAGTATTAGTTGGACAACAAATGGTGGATATTCTAAAATTCCAATCAATTACATCTACACAATCTCTTATTCGAAACCCGAATATCTTTGAAATATTTAATATGAATTGTTCGGAATCTAGTTTCTTAATGATAAGAGAAAGAGCATGTTTTCAACTTGATAATGAAACATTTATTGTGAAGATTGGGTTAATAAATAATTTGAATTGTTTATTAGAATTTTTAAAGCAACAGCAACAAAAACAAATTAAAACAAGTAGTAATGCAGATTCTAATCCCAGACTGGGATGCAACAGTGACGATAACCGTAGGTACGGTTACCGTAGTCGGACCGGTAACCGTACCTACGGTTACCGTAGTCGGACCGGTAACTGTACCTACGGTTATCGGTCAAGGTACGGTAACCGTAGGTACGATTACCGGTCCAACTACGGTAACCGTACCTACGGTTACCGGTCCGACTATGGTAACCGTACCTACGGTTATCGGTCCAACTACTATAACAGGCCAAACATGGAACCGGTATAGCGTTCTCCAGACAGGTACCGGTACCTGTCTCGAAATTTTGAGACCGGACCGGCCGGTATACCGGTTTGACCAGTCAATCGGTCCAAACCGGTCTACCGGTCTATCGATCTATACCGGTCTACCGGTCTATACCCGTCTATACCGATCTACCGGTCTATCGATCTATACCGGTCTACCGGTCTATACCCGTCTATACCGGTCTACCGGTCTATACCGGTGTACCGGTATACACCGGTCTACTGGTCCATACCGATCTACCTGTGGATACCGATCTGTACCGGTCTATACCAGTCTACCGCTGTATACCCGTCTATACCGGTCTGCCGGTTTACACCGGTCTATGCCGGTCTATACCGATCTACCTGTGGATACCGATCAGTACCGGTCTATACCGGTCTACCGCTGTATACCCGTCTATACCGGTCTGCCGGTTTACACCGGTCTATACCGGTCTATACCGATCTATACCGGTAACACCGGCCTACTGGTCTACACCGATCTACTAGTCTGCCGATCTATATCGGTGTACCACTCTATACCGGTCTATACCGCTCTACCGATCTATATCTGTGTACACCGCTCTACAAGTCTATACCGGTCTGCCGGTGTATACCGGTAGATACCGATCTACCGCTCTATACCGGTCTACCTGTCTATACCGGTCTATTCCGGTCTATTCCGGTCCACCGGTGTGACGGTAAAAAACGGTCTGCCGGTTCAAATCAGTGAGTGGTCTAAACCGTTGTATACCAGTCTAAACTGGTCCAGACCTGTCTACTGGTCCAAACCGGTCTCCCGCTTCAAAACGGTCTACCAGTTCAAACCGGACTCCCGGTTCAAACTGGTCTACCGGTCCCCAAAGAGGTCTACCGATTCAAACCGGTCTACCGGTACGAACGGGTCTACCGGTAAAAACCGGTCTATCGGTGTAAACCGGTCTATCAGTGCAAACTGGTCTACCGATAAAACCGGTCTATCGGTCCAAACCAGTTTATCGGTCCAAGTCGGTCTACCGCTCTAAACTGGTCTATGGGGTCAAATCGGTCCACCGATCCAAACCGGCCTACCCGTTCAAACCAGTCTACTGGTCTAAACGAGTCTACCGATGTAAATCGATCTACCGGTCTAAACCAGTCTACGGTCTATACCTGTCTACTGGTCTAAACCGGTCTACCGGCTCAAACAGGCCTACCAGTTCAAACCGATCTACCGCTTCAAACCGGTCTACCTGTCTAAACCGCTCTACTGATCTTCCGGTAAAAACTGTACTACCAGTCCACACCACTCTAAACCGGTCGATACTGGTCAATCTCTTTCACTTTCGTGCTCTATGATTCTATTCAAGTTAAGAAGGTAACCCACAAGATAGCTCACTGCGGAAGAAGATTTCATTTTAAGCTTCAGCCTGTTGTCTGTGGATCGATATTTTGTCGATAGGCCGGGTTTTCTTGATAAACTGGCGTATCATCAATGTCCCGTTTACTACCAGTAGATCGCTTTAGATCGGCTCGGACGGATAGACTGGTTTCGACCGGTAGACCAGTATAGACTAGTAGATCAGTATAGACTGGTAGACCGGTTTGGACCAGTACACCGGTATAGACCGGTAGACCGTTATTGATCGGTAGAGACCGGTAGATCGGTATAGACCAGTACACTGGTAAAGACCGGTACACCGATACACCGGTATAGACGGGTACACCGGTATAGGCCGGTAGACCGTTATAGACCGGTAGACCGGTTTAGACCCGTATAGACCCGTATAGACCTATAGACCGGTATAGGCCGGTATATCGCTGTAGACCGGTATAGACCTGCAGACCGGTGTATACCGATATAGGCCGGCAGAACGGTGTAGACCGGTATACACCGGTAGATCAGTATAGACCGGTACATCGATATACACTGGTATAGAGTGGTATACACCGGTAGACCCATATAGACCGATAGATCGGTATAGACGGTTACCGTAGTTGGACCGGTGACCGTATCTACGGTTACCGTAGTTGAACCGGTAACCGTACCTACGGTTACCGTAGTTGAACCGGTAACCGTACCTACGGTTACCGTAATGGGACCGGTAACCGTACCTACGATTACCGTAATGGGACCGGCAACCGTACCTACGGTTACCTTAGCTAAACCGGTTACCGCACCTACGGTGAAACGATGAATGATCGTCACCGTTGCATCCCTAATCCCAGTTTATCATTTGATTTTATAAATAAATATCCATTGTTAAAAAAATTAATTATTTGGTATCAACGAGTTAGCAATGAAAATGAAGCTGATGAAAATAAAGATAAATTTTTAAACCATTTTATTGATACTATCACTGATAATTTGACAAAATCGAAAAATAATTTTCGATATAGTAATTCGATTAAGAATTTTGCTTTATCGTTGTATATTTTAGGTGGTAAATTGACCTATGAATTTCTTAGATTAAATTTACCTGGATCTTTACCACATCTATCTTTATTAAATTCATTGATTTCAAGTTCAGATTCAAGAATCAGTGAAGGAGAATTTAGATTCGATCAACTTCAAAAACATTTTGATAGTCTTAATGTGCAATATGCATTCGGCTCTGAAGATTGTACTGGTATAGTTAAAAGAATTAAATATGATTCAACAACAAATACATTTACTGGATTTCCTTCATTATTTGCTCGTGGAGTGCCAATTAAATCATATTATCAGACTGACTCATTTGATGCATTAAAATTATGGTTCAATTCAATTGATAAAGCATCGTTATTGAATGTACATATGATTCAGCCAGTGCAATCCACAGATAATAGCAGCATACCAAGTCCTTATCTATTATCAGCATATGGAATTGACAATACTGCAACCGCGAACGATATATTACAGAGATGGTGGTATATATTTAATCAATCCTTACAAAGAAATATCAGAATCATTGGTTTTTCTACTGGTGAGACAATTTTTTTTTCAAATTTTATTAAAGAATAACTGCGTTTTTTTATAGACGCGGATCCAAAATATCTACGTGCTATGCGTTTAATGAGCGGTTTTCTTGGAGCTCTTCCGAATTTTCAAGTTCACCAGCACCCACAAGCATTTCAAATAAAAATAAGATCACACTGGTCTTGGTTTTATCTTCGTGAACAACAATTATTATTATTTTTTCAAGATCCGACCCATTTGGTAACCAAATGGCGTAATCGTTTATTATCAGCAACAGCAGAATTATGTCTCGGAAATCAGTCAATATCGATCAATCATTTGCATGATATTATTGAAAATGATACTTATTCTAAACTTGATCATGGTCTAACAAAATCTGACATTAACCCTAAAGATCGTCAAAACTTTAGTTCTTGTTTGAAATTAACATCTAATGATCTATTCAATATTTTAAATGCTACTGCTGATACTCGTGGAACCTTGCTTTATTTTCAAGTGTTAAAAATGATTATAGTAGCTTATATTGAAAAAACA